GAGATCTCAAGCCTGCTTCATCATTTGTAAGATTGTGACTAATCTGATTATGGCCTCAACTCTATGTTTTTATCTATCAAATTTCACCTTCAATTCCCTTCGTAAGCTTAAAAAATAATCAATGATCCTTTTTCCACTGCTCGTTGAGAAAGAGACTTCGATATGCTAACAACCCTCTGACAAAAATAAAGAATTTCCTCAAACCCCGTCATAACAGGTGATCCTGTATTTAAAAATTGAGCCCTTAAGTTCTCGTGTCTCCCAGAAGGGGAAACATCCTCATGGTATCCACACTATCGAACACCCTCGGCATCTTATATGTTTCAATAAGATCGCCTTTTGAAGAATGGATTAGAAGTATCCATTACACGAGTAAAGCATAAAATGGGCCAGATCCTCTACTGTTCTGGCAAATATTGAGGTGATCTCTGAAATGATTAGGGTGTGATTTGTTATTCTGAACATTGGGTGTTAACTTGAAATACTCATGAGTCAGCTTCAGGCAATCCATGTGTAAATTCTTCCTTTCCATAATTTAAGAGAACAGTAAGTGCTTTGCATCAAAGCTGAATTAAGGTTTTGCAATTCATAACTTTTTGCTGTGAAATAATAGCTGTAAGTGCTTCTAAATTCCAAGGATTTATTGTATCTATTGACTCGCAGTTAAGAAAAAAGTCTTCCATTGGGAATGTAAAGGTTTTTAGTGTGAAAGAGATGTAAAAAACATATCACACTTCAGGTCAGTGTCATCTGTAATGGAACAATTAGTTGTTTATTTCATATTAAGAGCGAATGTAGGATTGCATTTTCTGTCCAACATCTTTTATCATCATTTCTTTCTCAAGCTTTAATAAGAACTATTAGCTTTGAAATTCATTTTGTAAATTTTATCATGGAATTTCTCTTTGCCAACACCAGATGATTTGCTATAGGACTGAAAGTTGATTTCAAAAGATGGTACAAGAGACTCTGGTCACTAGATGTTGTTCTTATCCCAATCAATTCACCCCATCACAAATTAAATTAAAATTGTGCAGATGTTGTAAACCTGAAATAAAACCAACAAATTTCTGGAAATACTCAGATTCTGTGGGGAGAGAAAAGCAAAATTCATGTTTCAAGTTGAAGCCAGTTCTCCCTACTAAGTTGCTCTTCTGCCCTGGTACTTTTTCAAATTTTTAAACTTTTTGTTCACACTTTTAAATGTATGTTTCCAATTGACCAATTATCCTCTCTTTAAGTTTAACTCCTATCTTAGACTATCTTTTTAACCTGCATGCAAAGTCTGCTTAATTCATGTAGAAACTGCTACATGTTTTATTTCATTTGCGCATTGTGGAGAAACATGATTTTTATTTCATGAACTTCTTTTAGTGAAATCGTCTTCAATATCCATCTGAGCCTCTGACTAATTGGCAAATTTTACCAGCTTCATATTATATTTCTATGTGTTATTTAATAAATACAATAGAACTTGACTTCAAGAGAATGAGGATACCTTTAGTCCAACAGTTAATCATTGTCAGAGACGATGAACTCCATCTTCCAAACTTTTGGATTATTAATCCATGACATTTCTGCAAATGCAAAGTTCAGCACCAGAAGAATTACTCATGGAATTGATCATATGAATATGTTAGTAATTCACCATGGATTAATCTGCTCAATTTAGGACTCATACAACTCATATCATCTTTTCTGCAACAATTTTTTAAAAGCTTCTACAAACTGATCAACAATTTGAATTTGAATAGTTCCTACAACATAGTAAAATGCCCCAAGTCAGTTCTAAGAGCACAATAAGATACAGGAAACTCCAAACACTGTTTGCTATCATATCATTATTTCTAAATGTTAGCCAAAATGCCCTTCATTAGGAGTAAAGAGATTCTTTTGCTTGGGTAATTGTTGTAGAAGAAAGCATAACCCAGATTAGTTATTGACATCCAACTTAAATGTCACAGTAAGGATTTACTGTATTCTGTGTTTGCCACACTCTCATCTGTCCTGCCATCTATGCACATAAGTATCCAGGTCCTTCTGTTCTTTCACACTTTTAGAGTTATACCCTTTACTTTTTAAGGCCGAATGTTTTTTTCAATTGGCCTCATAATTGGTGTGCGTAGGCTCAAGGACATTTGCTGTCTTTTGTCACAAGGAAAATTGGGAAAAGGCAGAATTGGAGGAGACAATATTTCTGGCTATTCAATGTCACATTGCAGTCATTTCTTTTTTTTAACCGGCACACTTCCTTTTCGAACGAGTTGAGCCAGGAAAATTAAGCCCTGTATAATTGTTTATAAGTGTTATCTGAAATATACTTCATTAAGTGTAACTCTGTTCCTTTACTTAGGTCACTAATAGAGAACAAGGTAGAGTGGATTTCAATATAGTCATTAATGTCCAGGAAACTGTACGTGCCATGGATTCTGGATTGGATCCAGCAAATTGCTCACTGCTACTTACCTCGGATGCCGTGAGTATTACAATACTAGCCATTTTCTGCTCTGTTCTAATTAAACCTTAAAATTGCACTATAACCTATCATACAACATTTGAAATTTAGTCCTCCATTGATTGATACTTTGCATTGACCCCCACACAGCAATAAGTAATAAAGCACCCACTTGTGAGTTAGCACTACAGAGATAGCTTTGGAACGCTCTGTTGTCAACATGGAACAAAGCTGGGTCAGTGATAGGGCAATAGTATAATAAGCTACAGCGTTAATTTTGATGCAGCGTGAACCTCCTCCATTATCCAGCTGAATAGGATATCCCTCAATCTCCCTGGGAAGATGCAATATCCTCACTTGCCCCAGATTGTACAAACTGGAGAAGAAACACCCACGAATGTGCTAATCATCTCGAGCATCTCCAAGATATCCAGGTAGAGCCAAGCACCCACAGCAAATAGGGCATGCAAAAACCCTCAAGTGTCACACCCACCTCTTCAAGCATTAAATTATTTTGTTTAAGTGTGGACAATACTGGCTAGGCCAGCATTTATTGCCCATACCTAATTGCACAAGGGCAGTTAAGAGTCAACCACATTGCTGAAGGTCTGGAGTCATATGTGGGCCATGTTTCCTTTTCTAAAGGACATTAGTGAACCAGATGTGTTTTTCCAACAATTGGTAATGGTTTCATGGTCATCATTAGACAACTCTTTATTCGAGGTTTTTATTGGATTCAAGCTCTATTCAACTGCCATTGCAGGATTCAAGCTGAGCACTCTGGATTAATAGTCTAGTGATAATGCCACTAAGCCTTCACCTGCCCCACCTGTGGCATGGTTTGTAGATCCAGTGTTCCAATGTTTAAATAACTCAGGACCCATCGCTCTGGAGTGGTAAAAGTAAACAATTATCAGACCAGAGGGACTGCCAAGAAGGAGACCAGTACAATTGTTTTTGAGGATCTTTGGAAGTAAATACAACTGAACTGTGCATGGATTGGAGACCACGAGACTTGGAAGGAGCAGATCAACGATACTTTTGAATACAGTGGTTTTAAGTAAAGGTAGAGTCACACTCCAGGAGGGGATTAGAAAGAGGTGAGAGAGAGTTGGTGTTTAGCCTCAATAGGTCAAGGTTTGTACACCAAATATTATGACTGATTGTCACCATTATTA